CGTCGTGATTTTTAAGGCACATTCACTAGAATACGTTCAGATTCACCCAAAAGCATGCACGCGACACTCTAGTCTCTTAGGTAGTGCGGAGTGGGAAAAGAAAAGCTGACAACTTTCTAGGTGGGCATCCTCCCACTCAGACCCTTGGGAGAAAGCACTGGTCACCCCCGGGCATACTTTCTGTGTAAAGAGCATGAGATGAACAGACAGACATCCACAGGTGGTCCTGACTACATCCTTCCTCCTCCCCTACTCACCCTTGGGAATCTGATCATAATAGGAAACTCCAGGTGATTGCAGATTGCCCTTTTCCCCACAGACACACAGAGACACGCAGACAGACACACAGACGGACACAGAGCACCTTGGAGCCAGAAGGAAAGAAAAACTAGACTTGGAGAAGAGTTAGGGAGTGGGTGTCACTGCTCTGCAGCAGACCTGTTTTGGGACAGAAGGTGCGGAGTTCTGGGGTGTGGCCCCAGGAGGTTACAGGGGCAGGAGCAGGTGCAGAGGAGCTGCCCATGCCCCAAAAGACTGCTCATTCTGTCACTTGAGTCCCTGCCCTGTTAAGGTCCAGCCAGTAAAAGGTGTAAGGAGCAAGAATGCTTCCTGTGGGGGAGGCTGGACCGAGGTGGTGTCCAGTGGCCCTGGCAGCTTTGTGGGTTCTTGGACCCATGGCTACGGGGCCAGCCATCAAGGAAAACCAGCACCACCAGGAGTGTTGACAGGAGCAGCCCTGGTGAGGCTGGGTCCCAGGTAAGTGACCATTGCTCTTGTCACTCGGTGCCCAACAGAGAGCTTGGTTACTGTGACCTCCGCACCAAGCTAGAACGCTCAGCCTGCCTCTCCTAACCCTTCGACAATACCCAGCCAGTCCCTCCTCTGCTGTAGGAGGGAGCAGAAACCATGTTTTCTCCATTGTGCTTTCTAATTTTTTCCCACTGTGTCCCCAGGGTTTCCCTTCACACCAGAACCCAAAATTGGCCTGCTCTACCTTGACACTGTAGACCCAGAGAAATGGCTTGGCTAGACTTCCCGTTTCCATCACCACAAACATCAGCAGGTCTCCTCTCCTTAAAGCCAGGGAAAGACGGGCCCAGTGAACCGTGGGACGGAGCATGGCACCATAATATCTGATCAGGAAATGAACCACCAGAGAAGGCGCTGGTGCCCTCTAGACCACATTAAGCTACCTGACGAGGGGCCTCTCAGAGCACGTGTGGGCAGATACCGCCAGAACACACGTCCCTGCTCTAAGCATTTAACACAGGAAAATCGAATTACCAAGAAATGCCGCATACTGCTCCCCAACTTCTTCCCCTGCAGAGCTTCAGAACAGTGTGAAGACTGACTGCTCCAGGAGAACAGTTTCTACCTAGCCTTTCTAAACCTACCTGCTCTGCTTGTTCCCACGGCCTTCCACTCTCCCTCTGGGTGAGATGCCTCTTCCATGATAAGTGGCAAATGGGCAAGAGTTTAGATTTCCCATCCTGCAGGGTGACAGCCGCAGGCCCAGCCCCGGGACGCTTGGGTTCCGTCATGCTGGACAGGAATGTGCAGCAGCCCTGCAAGGGGCCAGGCACAGGCCTCTCCCGATTACACCGATGTGCTGGAGCCACGCGGCTTCCAGCAGGGAACTCCTGCCCCCTCCGGAGACGGTTTCATCTCACACATCAACTCAGATGTTTCTACGTCTCTAGAATCAGGAGACGGGGAGGGTGATCAGAACAGGGCCCAGAGGCCAGAGATGCTAGTTTCTCGTGGGACAGACAGTGGGGACAGAGAAATCAAGGGAACTTGAGGTTCTGGACAGCGCCATTAACCAGCGAGGTGATGCAGGCCAAGTTCCATTTTCTGAATGTGCTTCACCTGAAGTGATGAGATTGTACGAGTTGATCCCTAAGCGTTCTGCCACCTCTCATGCCCTCCTCGCCCTGTCCAGATCCTTCCATAACACCCATACACAGAAGCCTCATCAACCACGATTTGGCTGACAGCTGGGAGTACCTGGAGCTGGTCCTTCTGAGAGCGAGACCTGGAGCATGCGGTGGCTTGGGAACAGTACTTCCACAGGGCCCCAGGCACGCCCAGCTGCCTGCATTCCGGGGCTGGGAGCCTGGACCTCACCTGCATGTCCTGGGCTTGTGCTGGGGCTGTCAGTAGAGAGCTCCTGGGGCAGTCGAGGGCCGACCCACTGTGCCTGTTTGGGCACCACCTGCAGCTGACCTGTCTCACGGCCCCACCCATGGAGACATTTGGCTTTGAGAGCCAGGTTCCTGCTGCTTCTGTGAGCACAGAGCAAACCTGGAGAAATCCAACGAGCCAGAACCCTAGGCCACTGGCTACAGCCACAGCTACTCAAGGCCCTGCAACCCCGGCTTAG